CCGGGGGGCCAACAACGCAGTTTGATGCCCACGACTTTCTCTGATAAAAAACAGGGTACGAGCCCCGGAAGGGGCACTTCAATTGAAAAAATACAATGTCCGCCGGAGGGGGGGATCAACAATAATTATTCTTCAGTAATTAGAGTTCAACAACAACAACAACAAGAAGAAGAACCCGCATCGCGGAATGCCACTTCAGCCAGGCACCAAGGGACAGTGAATGACCGTTCGGTTCAGCCCCCTCACTCTGATATTCGGTATTCGGTTATCTTGAGCTGCCTTGGAGGCCATTCTGGAGCTTCGGAGGCCCGCTTGGAGCCATCTTGGGCAACACAGGGCCCTCTGCCACCTTACGGCCCCCGCCGACATTGAGACGCCCTGCCCTCGGCACTCAGGAATCATGCTTTCTCTCTCTCTCTCTCTCTGGACTTCCTTGAGATTCCTTGCGAATTTTGCTATCGCTCGAGACTTCCTCGCGATCCATCCAGGATTGATGCAGCAGCGACCCACCCGCTAGACCCGGCCGCCTGGGTCCGCCCGCCCTACCCGCCAGATAGCCCGACCCGCCCGTATGGTTATGCCGCTTGACCTCATGCTCTTAATTCCCCTCCTGTTGATCTCTCTCGTGTACCACTCTTGTCCCTCCCCCTTGTCCCACCTTCCCTCGTTTCCACTGTTGTAGGGGTTGCGCCAACTGCACGTGGCGGATAATGAAGATGAGCCCTATTCGGGTCACGATCGAAGACGAACAGGGTGTGTATCGACGGTTTGGGATATACATGTGGCACGCGAGCAGATAAGAGGGAACAGAGTTTAAAATATTGAACCCTCAGTTCTACATGGTATATATTGTTGATTCCCCCGGTGCCCAATGTGCTTTCACTTGGAGTGTTCCTCCCATGTCCGCACCCTGCTTCTACGGGAAAGCTTGAAGCTCAGGTCAGGTTGTTGGCCCCAGGCTTACAACACCACCAACAACAACAACGGCTACTGCACGTGGAGGACAAGGAAGATATACCCCCAAGGGTATCAAGGGATTGGGATATACATGCTTAGTGGCACGCGAGCAGGTACGAGCAAACATTCGTGTGATGATTTGTGTTGTTGTGCACGGTGGGCCGCCAGGGTTCGAGGCCCCCAGCCAGGAGTACGGGGGAGGAGGAAATACGGTCGAGGACGGGAGGATGGAGGTGGAGGTAGAGATGGAGGAGGATCAGGAGGAGGAGAAGCGGGCTTTTCGGAGGTGGATCGGTTGCAGTCGAGCTCTTCGTGGCTCTGAGGGATCATTTAGGGTTTTGCTGGTATTCCTGCGACTTGTCCTGCTGCTCTCCCGCCTCCTCCTTCTCCTCCTCTTGCCCTGGCGCCGCGCACATTCGTAATCAAACTTTGCAGGAGCTTCACGAAATGAGGGCGGTTAGTTTTGAAAACGTGGCTCTCGCTCTAGCGCTGCGCACATTCGCTGTGCAAACGTTGCAAGCGCTTCACGGATTGAGGGCGGCTCGTTTTGCAAATGTGGTTCTCGCCTCAGTTCCGCGCACATTCATTATACAAAATTGCGACAGTGTCGCAGAGTCCCAACGTAGCACAAGTGGCTTTCTGGAAGGATTCAGGATTGTGAGGTCGCAGCAGTTACTTTGATTCTCGGAGTTGACGTCCCAGGAATGGTGTTCTGGTACGGTTCAGGATCGTCAAGTCGCAACAGTCAGGTTGATCCGTGGCGCTGGAGTTACGGAAATGGTGTGTTGGCATGTTTCAGGGTCTCCAAACAGCTGCTCCCAACGAGGCAGTTCCTTCAGTGAAAATGAGCCCTTGTAAGGGCGTATGAAGAGGGAGCTCGGAGGGAGGAGTTATTCCAACATCGGTGATGGGTCTTGGGCTTGCATTGGTCCTACTCCTTCTCCTCTTCGTCCTCATGCTCCCTTCTTCCTCATCCCGCCCGGACCTACGCGCGAGCCACCCCATCCGCCCCCTCTCTGGTGCTCCTTCTGCTCCTGCTGGTGCTCTTCCTCCTCCGTCTTGGCTTCCCCTGCCTCCTCCTACAAGGGTACGGGGATATGGAGGATGAGGAGGAGGACCGGTGTAAACCCAAGAGTCATCAACGATGTTGGAATAATCCCTCCCTCCAAGCCACCTCTTCATAAGCCCCTACAAAGGCTCATTTCCATTGACGGAACTGCTTCGTTGGAAGACAACCGTTTTGGAGACCCTGAAGCATGCCAAAACATTGTTCTCGCTATTCCAACGCCACGGATCAACCTGACTATTGCGTCTCGACGAACCGCAATCGTGCCAGAACACCATTCTTGGGACTTCAGCACCCCGGAACAAGATAACTGTTGCACCCGCAGTTCCTGGAATCGTTTCATTAACCATTCATGGGGCGTTGACGCTGGGCATCCGCAAATCTCTTATATGTTGTACAACGAGTGCGCGCGGCACTAAGGCGAGAGCCACATTTTGAAAAGGAGCCGCCCTCAATCCGTGAAGCCATTTCACTTTTTCAAGAAGGGAGCGAATTTGCGCCGCGCTGAGGCGAGAGCCACATTTTGAAAACGGGTGGCCCTCAATTCGTGAAGCTCTCGCATTTTTCATAACAACGAATGTGCTCGGGAGCAAGGCGAAAGACACATTTTGAAACCCACCCGCCCTCATTCCTTGAAATTCTTGCAAATGTTTCAAAGGCGCGAGCCACATTTTGAAAACCACCCGCCCTCCATCTGTGGAACGGTTTTCAGTTTTTAAGTTTCCGTGTCCAAGGATGAGGAAGTCCCAGGCGAAACGCCCAGCCCGCCCTAAAGACTAGCCTCGGGGTGCGACAGGAAGAAGTTATTGATAAGGAAAAGGCATGGAGGGGAAGGAGGAGGACAGCAAGGTGAGTGGAAATGACGAGAAGGAAGGGACGGCGGAGGGTTGGGATGTGAGGGGGGGGGTAGGATGAGGAGGAGGAGGAAGAACGAGAGGAGGAGCCGGAGGAGGAGGAGGAGGGAACGGGCGGATTGCAACGAGCGGGGATCTATTCTGACAGTCTCTCGCGCGCAGAGGGGGCACGGGGCGAGATGGGTGACCTTGAGACAAGACTGGGAGGGGGTCTTGGACGCCGGCCTGCTTGGTGAGAGGCCTCCTCTTCTGACCTCCTCGCGTCGTCAAGAAACACAACGAAAAGTATGTGTCCAGTTTCGCCATCTGGGGGCCTTTTTGGGACCCGAGGACCGCCAAGATACGGCTCGAGATGGAAAGCCACATGGGCCCCATGGTGGAGTCCAGACCTTTGGGGAGTCACGCTGCGAACAAAATCACGCTGGGACAGAAGCCCGTGGGAAAGGGGCCAGTCCCCTTCAAAAGCAGCTCCTCCCCCCCCTTTCTGCCCGTCTGCCCCCTGCCTGTCTCATCCTCCTCCCCCTCCTCCGCTCCGAGAAGCAGCTCCTCTCTCCTCTCCCTTCCTGTCTTTTCTTTCGCTGGAGTTCAGGTTAGCCATCTACCAGACGCATGCCTTCGGCAACCAACCGCGCCAGACTCTCGAGGGCTTCGTCGAGAGCAATGGCCTCCACTTCAAATGACGACATGGGGTCCTGCATAAAAGTGCTGGCCATGCCTGTGAGGAAACGGCTCCTGCCACCCACGCCCTCTAAATGCCACGCGGCAGCCGAGCAGTTCGCCCTGGTCCCGCCGTCTGCGTGCACACGCAAATTCATATCCTCGACCCCCCTCCTGTCTGCCCTTCGTTGGCCCCCTTGCCCCGGCTTCCTCCCTCGCCCTCCCTTTTTCGGAGTCGCGCAATGGGGGGGTGAGACATGGGGGGGCAGCGAGGGCTGCAAAAACGGGGCCCTTCAGGGCCGCTGTATGGGCCCTTTCGCGCCCCAAAACCTCCCTCTTGATCGCCCCCCCCCCTGACATGCTGGTCGTCAAACGTAGGCATTACTGGAATTCGAGATCCCAACCTACTTTGAGCGCTTTCCTACTTCAATGATCGAGTGGTTTCCCCTCTCCCCTCCTCTTCAGGCGGCGGGCGGAAGCCCAAATTCTTCCGACCGACCGGTATCGCCCCTCCCTGTGAAGACGGCGGTGGGGGTGGGCGAGGTGCGGAGGGCAGCCAGGGCGCGCCTGCGCGAGCTCCGCTGGAGGCGCTGCCCCGTCCCCCCACCGCTCCACGCCCGCGTCGATCCGGCGTCGATCCGGCTCGACATCGACTCGACCTCGGGCTCGCCCGGCTCGAGCCAGCTTGATTCCGACGATCCGATGCGGCCGGATACCCGCATGGCATTGTTGCGCATCTTGGCGCGGCCGATTCGATTCGATGCAGACTTCTCGTCGATGCGGCCCTCTTGGACGTACCTTCTGATCCAAGCCGGCTTGCCGATGCGATGCTGACCGATCATGCATCTCACCCAAAATCCGATCAAAATCGGCAAACATCGGGACGGCCGCTCTTCCTCATTTCCAGCCTCTTGGGCTTGTCTTGGGCCCCATGGGCTGTCAACAAAGCTACCCGGGCTGATACACCGACCCCTGGGAAGAGGTTGAACGTTCTTAGGGTGGGGGCACCTCACGCAGAACACATGCACAAACACACACGATTTCGTGAGTCTGGGGGTCCGTGGTTGTTTTGCTCCTCGAGTGGGCTTCTCTCTCGCGCAGTTTCTCGTCACCTCGTGCCCCTCTCCCGCGTGGTGCTGGGAAACCCTTGTGCCACGAAGGCTGGCCCTGGGGCGTGCGGGGTGAATCGGGTCGCAAGTCTAAGAGGTTGGGGGAGAGAGGGCCATGGAGTGCGACTTGGAGGGAGCCACATTCATCCTGTCTGTTCTCCCTCTTGCGGGCAATAGTTATATCCATGTCCAGTGCGTCTTGGAGCTCTGGGCTCTCTTCCCCAGAAACTGGAGGCGCACTGGATATGGACAAAAATCTTGCCCCAGAAGGTTTTTGATGTTTATCCATATCCAGTGTGGCTCGGCCTTGCGGCACCCCTTCCCAACAAGTCCACGACGCTCTGGATATGGATACAGGTATTGCCCGCACCTCTTTCCCTGGCTGCTGGCTGCCGCCTGCCTGCCGCCGCTTTCGCTCCGCGCTCTGGTTGCCGCCGCCTTCTCCCGCCCGCCGCGCGCTCGATCGCGCGTTTTCTCGAGTGTGGGCCGAGCGCTGCCGAGCGCGGCGGCGGGCGGTGCCGCGCTCGTGGAGCGCCCGAAGGGCAGGAAAAGGCAGTGAGCCTTCTGCTCTCGCCTCTGCAAGAGGAGACAAGGGCGCCCTGCAGGGGCGCGAAGTTGTTCGCGCTTCGCGGTCCTCGTTCCTTCTCCCCCTCCTCCTCGTCCTCCTTCTCTCCCTTGGGGGGGCGGCGCGAGAGCGCGAAGGTATTCTCTTCGCGCTTCGCAGAGCGCGAAGCGCGAAGTTGGGAGCCCTAGCTTCTGTTCTCGCCTCTGCAAGAGGAGACGAGGGAGCCACCTCCTTCCAGCGAGTAGCCAGTTGTTCTCAGTTTACCAGTTTTGTTACATGGCCTGCAGCTCCTCGCGGAAGCCGAGAGCTCCATGCACAGAGGAACTCTTCCTGAGAATGCCCCCCCACGTCGTGCAACGGTAAATTGTAAGGCCAACGTGTCTGATCGGCATGGAAACCGAAGTGGAGAGGGACACAAAGTGCAAGCCTACCCCACCGAAGAGTCAATGAGGAAATCGAGCAACGAAAGGTCCACCATGAAATCCGAACAACATAAAGCCAAACCAAAAAATAATACATATATTCATAATACTTGTAATACGGAGAAATCGTGGAGAAATAGTAATAATAGTCATATGGTTAATAATGCTACGAATACTGCTACACCATGTAGATGAGGGGGAGCTCGGATCTACGCGGCTCTTCAGCCAACGTGACCTCGCTGTGACGGACGGTAGTCGTCCGACAGAAGGCGGAGCAGAGCCAGGCGTTCAACAGTGGGTTTCCGACGAAGCCCACCCTCCCTTCTACTTCTAAGGCTGAAGACGCATGACGCGGCTGGCCTGTGCGAAAGCTGGATACGCCTGTGGCCGGATGTCTCCCCCGCGCTCGGCCCTTCTATGCCGTCTCCCTCTGTCCCAGCGGCCGTCGGCGCGCACCAGGGCGTGGGAACGAGGGGGCGGCCTCCCGAGATGGCAGGGGGGCTTCCTCAGCGAGCCTGTGCCCTGTGAGAAGCCCTTCCAGAGGCCCCCGGGTCCCTGTCCGAGAAGACCCCGCACCTTTCTCGGAACCCCCATCGCTCCCCCCCCCCGGCCGCTGAAGCGCCGACAGGGCCCACAGACACTCCCGGCCTCCCTCGCCAGTCATCCTTGGGCGTTGCGTAATGGAGGGGTCATAAATGGGGGGGTGGCGAGGGTGGTCCGAAAAGGTACCCAAACGGTATCTAAACGAGCCCCCTGGGGCTCTGGAGGGGCCCGAAAGGGGCAGGAAAGGGGACCTTTTCTGACCCCCCCGTTTGTGACCCCCCCATTAAGCCACGCCCGACATCCCGCGCCGCGATTTTCTGACGCGGCTCCCCAGATGGGCCCCATCTCGAGGACAAGCTTCTCCTGCCGAGTCGTGTTGGCGGCCCGTGGGGCCCGGCAGGGGCCCCCGCGGGCCGATGGTTTCCGCACCACGGCCGCCGTGCTTTGTTTCACGACGTGAGAGTGTCAGGGATGGTTGATTGGCTTGTTTTCCACCACCACCACCATAAGGAGGAGGGGGGAAGGAGGAGGAGGAGGAGGAGGAGGAGGAGGAGGACCCCCTCCCCCTCCAACTTATGGTGGTGGTGGCTCAGGAGCGAAAGAAAGTAAAGACCTAGGCGCACATGTCTGCACATGGGCTTCGAAAGAGCGCTCTGCGTTCGCGGGCGTGCGCAAAATGGCGGTGGCCCCGCAACTTTGGCAGCATCTTCGTGTACGTGAGTTGGCGCGTGTGTCCTTTTTTGACACCCTAAGGTGGCAGTGCCTGAGAGGCTGGTACATCCGTGGTCGAACACTTGCCTAAACCGGCCTACTCCCCCTCAATCCTGCGTGGCCCAGCTTAGGCATGGCAGAATCCTGCGCTTAATCCGGGATAATCTGGCAAAGTGACCACTTCACTATTCCCACTCCTCGTTCTTACGAAGACCTCCCAGAGGTTGCCTCCTGAGTACGTGGTTTGGCGGGTGCGCCCTTGGTTGTCTCCGTGCAGCGGCCTCTCTCCCTCCCTCTCAGCGGCTCGCGTCGGCCGGGGCGTGGGATCGGGTCAGGGGCAATCTTAGGGGTGGATGGGCTCAGGAGGAGACGCATCAACCCACAGTTGCCCATTCATCGCTGAAAGGGTCCTGATAGCCTGCCCCGCCAAGGAGCGCCCAGTAACGCGCGGGTTCGCTATCGTGGCCTATCGCCGATTTATCGGCGATGTATCGCCGGTTCAAGCTCGATGCTTCCCCCGTTGAGCCCGTCTCCCCCGATTGTTCCCCCTCAGCAGGGGCGGGGCGGGGGCGGCGATGTCGCTGCTGTCGGCGGCGCGCGCCTGCGACGCCGAGGCCGTCCTGGCGGCGCTGGACAGGCCCTCGGACGGCGACGAAGGCGGCGGCGACTCCGGTCCTGACAGCCTCGCGCCGTGAATCTCGAAGAAGAAACGACGGAGATTGCTTTCTAGTCGGTGAACCCGTGACGTGTGTTAGGGGGGTCGCCCCGCCCCCCCCTCCCCTCCCCGTACAGCGCCGAGCGTACGCGGGGGGTGTCGGTTCCCCCAAAGGCATGGCGCGGTGCTTACAGGCATTGGTGTCGACAGGCAGGCTGTGGTGCTCACAGGATGTGACGCTCGCAGGCCCGCTCGGCCCCTCCCCGCCGCAACGGTCGTTGCAGGGAGGACGAAGCAGCCATCCCACGGCGTAAACACAGATTGTCGGAGGACCGCCCCGATCTCTTGGATCTGCGCCGGCCCCTTGGTGGCGCCTCTGGCGCGGCTTGCGCACCAGGGAGTCACCACCCACCAAACCACCCCAACCCAACCCGAAGGTCTCGATTTGACCTCCATTTCCAGTTGGGGGGGGTCGGGGAACCTCGAGAAAACACATATGGAACCCGTACCCCCCCCAACCCGAAATTCGGGTCTTCGGGTTGGGTTGGGGTGGTCTGGTAGGTAGTCAGGGAGTGGGGTTCAGTGCAGATCTCAGAAGTACGTGCGGACCTTCGGCAAAATCAATCATGACAGATCTGAGTTTGGCCGTTTTCGGCCTCCGGGGTCGATGGCCGGACCCGGGAGTTGCCATCGACGGGCTCATAGGATGAAAAGGCGGTCCCAGGGAAGTGGTCCAGTTCTCTGGAAAAGCTACGACGTCGGATGTCTGGGACCCCAGTGGGAAGAAGTGGGGTTCCAGGGGTTCTCCTGGCCCTTGGGTCTAGTCATGGGGAAGGCCTAAGGGTGCAGAGCCTGCATCCACTAGGACCCCGTTCCGCTCATGCAGGAAAAGAGGACGGCGCCGCCGGCCTCCTCACGCACATTCGCCTCTCGAAGCGGGCAGAGGGCCCCCTCGACTGACTCCCGTGGTCCCCCTCGCTTTGGACCCCGATTTTGTTTTAAAGAACCAGCATCATCATCATCCTCATCATCATCATCATCAGCAGCATCATCATCGTCATGATGATACGTCATCGTCCTCATCATCCTCATCCTCATCGCCAACAGTAACATCATCGCCGTCATCACCAGAATAATCGTCATTACCGTCATTATCATCACTACCACCATCATCAGCATAATCAGCATCATCATTGACATCATCATCATCATCGTCATCATCATCATCATCATCATCATCATCATCATCATCATCATCATCATTAGTAGTAGCGTCCTCATCTTCATCTTCCCCATGTTCGTCATCCTCCTCATCACCATCATCATAATAGTAGTACTGATCATGATCATCGTCATCGTCATCATTCGCATCCTTCTGTTTCTGGCCATCACTGCAGCCTGCGTCTCATCCTTTGTGTTCTCATGTCCACTCGGGTATTGAGGGTAAAGGTGATGTTGGTGGCGATGGTTACAGAGTCATTATATTCAGTTCGTGGTGAATGGCTCGGCCAGTCTTGTTTCGGTTTGCCATATCGACATCCTTGCAAGATCAATGCTTGTTCGGTGTGTGGTAGATGCGCCAACTAAGTTTCATCGAGACGAGGGTACTATCGCCATGGAGTTCGGCCAGTGTCGACGCTTGGGCATCGTCGTGGAGGGGAGTCTTGTGCCGTTTGGCGTTTGTTCGCCTATATTAAGAGGTGCGCGTTTTGAGGAGAGCCAAGGCCGCGTTGGACAGCGTCCACCGCCGCGGGCTGAACAGTTCACTGGGGCGCCATGCATTACGACACGGCTCGGACCAAACTCGAGTTGGTCAGATACAGGTCTGTTGCTGGAGGCCCCGATTTGATACATATACATATATACATATATATATATATATATATATATATATGTATGTATGTATATATATATATATCGATATGTGTACATATGTAGTTTGCATGTTCGTTGTAGCGAGCTGGTGGAAGAAGGACGACCCGTTTCAGGACGTCTCGTATGTGATTTCCTGGAGCCATCCCAAAGCTGGTCGTGCTTCCGTTGCCGATTGGAGGATTCGGGGCAGGATTGGTGCAGCTGCAGCTTTGAGACGTCAGGTGAAACTAGACAGTGCTCTGCGAATCAAGTCCGCCCTGGGTGACTTGGAATCGCAGAGACTGTCAAGGGCCGCTGCGAAGACGTCGTCGAGTTCTCCCTCCTCTCCCAACCCGTCCTTCCCGCATTCCGTTTCTCACCCACGACATGCGATCACAATGTTCAAAGCAGCCGCCACAGGGTTGTATACGAGTTCTCAGCTGCCCCAGATGGGGCTACCGAGCCCGCTCGTTGCACCACCCTGGCCTTATATTGGCCAGGTAGGGCAGACTGGAAACTGGGGACTCTCCAACAATATCTGAGAGATTTTGCAAATGGTGGTTCAAAGATCTAGACGAGTTTCCGGGCGATCGCTGCGGAAACAAGAAAGTTTTACACATCATCTTTCCCAGGATATTCTTCACGCTTCGTGTATTCCCACCCGCGGGCGCTCACTTTGGATGGCTGGGGCCGCAGGCCTAAGGCCCGCTCCATACGCTCCACACGCTGCACATCCGACGACTGGTGACCTTGCTCTGGTGGCGTTTCCCCCCCACCAGGCAGGCGCCCTCCCACCGACTACAT